CAATTTGTACCTTTCAGCTTTATCTAGAGGCAATTGTAATAGGTACTCTAAGTATTCAAGTTAGAATTAACTTGAAGTTGTCGCAACAGTTAAAGGCTGGTTGCCACAACGGGATTAGAGTTAATCCTTAGGTTTACAAAAAATTTTGTAAATGCTGTTTTGGCTCATTGATTTAGTGAAGTGTTGGGAAAAAATTCTACTGAGTAGTAGGTCATGGTTTTTTCACCTTTTGAGGCGGGTGTTTTCCATGTAAAAATACTTATGTTCTTTATTTTTCGCATTTACTATTTCATCAAAAGTAGGTTAAGGAACACTTAGAAGAACTAGGTCCTTCTGTAGTCAGTACACGCGAAAATTAGACACCACACAAATCACCCTCCCTCTTGTGTGGCATTGACGTATAAAACATCATTAATAAAACTATGACTCAAGAATAAAGTCTAGAGAAGATTAAATACTCAAAAAGATAAATTTAAATCATACGAAATGATACGTATTCAATACATTGTACTTTGCTACTCATAATCGCTAGAATACCTTGTGTCTTGCTAGTGAATATGTTGAAAATAATTTAGTTTTAACATAAGGAGCATAATAGGTTGGGAATTAGGATTTTGAGTTTAATTACTTCTTGACTTGTAACCGTGTTCATAATTCCAAGTCCCGCGACAAAATTTAGTGCTTTATTATTTTTAAACTTAATATATAAATATATTTTTTACATGTAAATTTATTCGGTACGGTTTAATATTTTTTTGGTTTATTTTCATAAAATAAAAAACCTATCCTAATTATCGGTACGGTTATAGAAATATATAAAACCTACGGTTTTATTAAAAAAATTTAAAAATCGGTTCGATACGATATAATTCGATCAATTTAGTCGATTTTTAAATATTTATTTACACCCCGCGAACCACTATTTGATACTTTTAGCCGATCACTTGGGATGCACCCAAAAAGGAAATTACGTATAAAATCCATTGGGAGAAACTCCTTACAAGAGATACTTTGAAGATGACATTCGATAAAGTACACATAATAAAACTCATAAAAGACAAACAATATTATAAAGTAAAAAAACTTCACACGTATTGATGTTCAAGATAATTGGACAAAAAAAAAAAAAAATACTCCCTTCGTATCAATTTATATTATGCGGTTCAGATTTCGATCAAACGAGTTTTTCTTTGATTAGAATATTTTTGTATGTATTTTAAATTTTTTAAATTATTAATTTGTATGACTTATAATACTTTTTATGTAGTTTTCAAACATGTAAATTTTATTTCAAAAAATTTAAAAATTTTATGTCGATATTTGCTATCAAAATTAAGAAGTTTTACGCGATACCATAAATTGTACGGAGGGAGTATAAAACTAAAAGCAAAACAAGCCAAAAAGGAAAAAGAAAAGGAATTTTAAATGTCTAATCAAGCTATGAAATAGACTATAAATACATAGACTTTCCTCAGCTTTTCATCTTCAGTTCTTCATCTCCTTTAGCATTCTATATTTTCATTTAACTTCTTCTCTTTTGTGCGAAAAAATAATAATATGAAAACCACAGAAAAGTTCGAGAGGTTCGCAAGCTGTAGAGGTGTAGCATTTGAAATAAAGCCTCGTGAAGATCCATTTGCTGTCCCTAAACAACCAATAACTGAAGTTTCCCAAGGTAGCAAAAGATACTGGCTTAATAGTTTTAGCAAAAAAATTGTACCCTCTTCATCTTTTATGCAAAGATCAATGAGTCGCACTAGTAGCCATTTTTGTGATCTAGAAATAGATTTGGATGACTACGATGATGATGATGTTACTCTAGCTGACATTGAAGAAGGCTATTATGAAAAAGAAGGGTCGTCACCTTTGCAAATTCAAGTGGGATCATCACCAATGCCATTTCTTCCTCCGAAAACACTGAGCAAACGCGAAAAGAAAAACCCTAATTCATCAAGATTGTCTGTCATTCTTCTTGATCAAGGCTTGTTTACAGTTTACAAGCGATTGTTCGTGCTCTCTTTCGTTATGAACATTACTTGTTTGATTCTTGCTGCTACTGGGAATTTCCCATATGCAAGAAGAAAAGCTGTTTCCTTTTCCATCGGGAATATTTTTGCTTTAACACTAAGTCGAAGTGAAGCATGTTTGCGAGTGGTGTTCTGGCTTGCAGTGAATTGTTTAGGATGGTCTTGGATTCCTATTCGGATAAAGACTATGGTAACGTCTTTACTTCAATCTCTAGGTGGAATTCACAGCGGTTGTGCAGTTTCTTCAATTGCATGGCTCGTTTATGCCTTAATCCTGACGTTGAATGACAGAGAAAACACTTCCACTGAAATTATTGGTGTTGCTTTTGCAATCCTTTCACTTCTCTGCTTATCTTCATTGGCTGCATTTCCCCTTGTCCGCCATCTCCATCACAATTTCTTCGAGAGAACTCATCGTTTTGTTGGATGGATAGCATTGGCACTTCTTTGGGCTTTCATAACCTTAACAATTTCTTATGATCCTGAAACAAAATCTTATAGCACTGAGATTGGTTCCAAACTGATAAAACAACAAGAATTTTGGTTGACAGTGGCAATTACAGTGCTAATAATCATTCCATGGTTAACAGTGAGACGTGTTCCTGTGAAGATCACATCTCCATCTGGACATGCTTCTATTATCAAGTTCGAGGGTGGAATCAAAGCTGGAATTTTAGGAAGGATTAGCCCTTCGCCCTTCTCTGAATGGCATGCATTTGGGATCATTTCGGATGGAAAGAAACAACACATGATGTTGGCAGGTGCAGTTGGTGATTTCACAAAATCTTTAGTGTCAAATCCTCCTAGCCATTTATGGGTTCGACAAGTTCATTTTGCAGGCTTGCCTTATCTAGTAAACATGTACAACAAGGTCCTGGTGGTGGCCACTGGCTCTGGAATCTGTGTTTTTCTATCATTTCTTTTGCAACCATGTTCAGCTGATGTGTGCTTGCTTTGGGTGACGAAAGGGGTGGAACAAAATTTTGGAAAGGAAATCAAAGAGATGATTAGTGGACATCCGAATGAGAAAGTGATTATACATGATACAGCTTTGCTTGGTCGACCAAATGTATCAGAAATGAGTGTTGAGACAGCCAAGAAATGGGGAGCTGAAGTGGTTATTGTTACTAGTAATCCAGAAGGGAGTAGAGATGTAGTTAATGCATGTAAGAAGTCTGGAATTCCTGCCTTTGGTCCTATTTGGGATTCCTGAGACTTGGAATTCCAATCCTCACAAGACAAATAAAATACTTCTTTTGATATTTGTTTCTATTAGTTAATTACAACACAAAACTAATTATTGACCATGATATTCACTTTGAAATTCATCAAATTTGGAATGCTATTATGGGATTACAAGAAACATATATAACTTAGTTCTTATTATATTTACGAAAGTGTTTCTTGCTTCATCATTTCACTCAAACTGATTCTTTCAAGCAAATGGTGGCCGAATTTGGCAGTTTCAAACATTTAATTTTGCATTTTTAGCTTGGTATCACAAAATTAAAATATCTCTAATAAACATAGTAAGGATGAGAGGCGTAGTCAAGATTTGAACCTTGCGGGTTCAGGATTCTAGTTTGTTTATGTTATTGGGTTCTAAATTAACAATTTATACATATTCAATAAAAATACAGAATTTGTACCAAAGTTACTGGTTTCGGCCGAACCCGTAAATCATACGCTAGCTCCGTCCATAGTAAGGACACATCTTCCCAAGGGGTCGTTTGGTTAAAGGGATTAGGGATGTTATTCCGATATAAAGTTTAGGATTAAATTTATTCAGTACTTGATGTGCGTAGTAACTAAAATCGGGATAAAATTTATACCAAAATCATGAGATTATCTATCTCATACAGGGGAGGTCACATTATAATCTTAATATTGGGATAATCTTTGTCTTAAACCAAACGATCCCTAAGTGTTCTTCCATTTGATGTTGCCTTCTCTTTTCTTGCAATTAACGAAACATATTTATCCTATTATTAACTGAGTTGATCATTCCCTTGCGAGGTCAAGTGTTTAAATTGTCACTGCTAATTTTTTAAATTTGTCATAAATAGGATAAGTTAATTAATGTGCACACGAATTCCAGTTTTTTAAAGATGTGAGAAAGATATACAGGACTGGTTCCGTGGTCAACCATGCTATTTCGAAAAGAAATCATCATAATAATAATAATTCCATTCAACGTCCTTAAGTCGAATAATCCAAGTAAAGTCAGACAAATAGCAAAAAATGTATATCTTAAAACAACGAATATTTCACTCTACGTTTATTTTATTCTTTTTTTATGGCGTATAACTTAAAGATTTCTCTTTTTAGTATGTAAATATACTATTATCGCTCAATAATTCCAAACATAGAACTGTTAAAATAGTACCACCAACTATTTAATATTAGTGGCAGAATTAACGTAGTACTTCGTAAAATGATGCAATATATTGATATCCTTTGGTAGTAATTTATAATCCACCATTGGCTATGTTTAATTGTTTAATTAAGGAAAGTCAACTAAGTCAGGGATGCATGTATCCACTTGCAAATAATTAATAGGCTTCAACTTCTATGCATTTTCACTATAAAGTGGTAATTATAAGTAAACCTTTATAATACGATTAGTAGATGACCTTGTAAAAATGATAACTAATTTGCTATTATAAGCTAAATTACACTAATAATGTTATAAAATATTTAATTTTTTGTTGTTGTAATAATTATTTAATATTCGGAATCCACTAACCCAACTAATCCAAATACGCGCTATGTAAAACCTATTAAAATAGGAAGCACGGCAGATGTATTTGCGGTGGTTGAACAGTAAGGATATGGATACATGGTTTATAGCTATTTGAAATTAAAATTTTGGTAATAATCTGTGAATACTACCATAGTGTACTAGGCACGTCACATTACATCAAGACCTCAAATACATCTAACTAAATACATGAATTCAAACCAAAAGAGAGACCTACTATACAAACTAACTACACAATCTTTATATCAACATTGGACACTTCCTTGCTCTTCTAGACTCTGCATGCATTCTCAGTCTTTCTGTGAGCTCTTTCTTGATTTGGCCAATATAGAATTCCATGTTCAAGTTGATTTGTCTGAAATTTTTTCAGTTCCTAGCTTGCCAAGTATGGTATATTATTGCACTTATTATTGCTGATGCTATTACCTTTCTAAACTGTTTCCAGTGCCTTCTTCTAATCCACTGCAAAGTCTTAGATATTGCCATATCTGGTAGATTGATACCCGACCACCTTGCCAATGCTCCTCTTATGGACTTCACCCAACTGCAATCTACAAACAGATGCTGATGAAACTCTAGCACTCCCAGTTCACACATGCAGCATCCAACATCTCCTGTGATAGAAATATGCATCTGTAGAAGTTTCTCCCTAGTTTGCAAGTTTTGTTGGTTTGCTAACCACAACACAAATCTGTGTGTGCGTAGCATAACTCCACTTTATACCAAATTAATTTCCCAATATCTTGACATATGACCAAGCATTGCATTATAACTGCTCGAGACAGAATATGAGCCATTTCCAGTCAAGGTATAAATATTCCCATTGTACCATTGAGCAATGCTAAGTTTTAGTCCATTGATCTTCTTCCAATACCAGCTACAATCTGCCGGTGGTTGGTGGTCCCAAATGCTCCTACATGTCTTCATATAAACACCATGCACCCAACTCACACACAACACTTCCTTATTAGTCACTAGTTGCCATAACAGTTTTCCACTGATACCATATTCCATAGTTTACATCCCTTGATGTTTAAACCTCCACACTTCTTTGGTCTACATATTAAGTCCCAAGCTACCAGTGCCATTTTCCTATGCCCTTCAGTGCTACCCCATAGGTACTCCCTGCATTTCCTATTTACTTCCTTGATGACACGTTGTGGAAGTATAAAGACAGCTCCCCAAAAATTATATACTGCAAAGAGAACAACATTTATAACTTGCAGTCTACCAGCATAAGAAAGCTGTTTAGAATATCCAGAATTAATTTTCTTTATAATCTTCTCCACTAGTTGATGGCATTCGACTTTACTCCACTTCTTTGATGTTAGAGGCAACCCGAGATATCTCATAGGTAATGTACACACTGAGAAACCTGTGTTACTCAAGATTATCTGCTTTAATTCATCATCCATCCCTGCTAGGAAAATATTAGATTTTTCCATATTAGCCACCGATTCTGAGACTTCACTAAAGTGATTCACAACTTCCATCATCCCGTGAATGGACTGGAAGTTGCCTTTGCAAAACAACATCAGGTCATCTGCAAATATGAGATGAGTAAGCTTAGTACTCTTACACATAGGGTGAAACTGGAAGTCTGGAAGATCACTCATTTTGTTCAGCACTCTAGTTAGGTACTCCATGACTAGAACAAACAACAATGGGAACATGGGGTCTTCTTGTCTAAGACCTCTCTTCCCCTCAAAATAGCCAAATCCACCACCATTCACTTTTACTATAAATGTAGTTTTTGTAACACACACCATGATCAAGGGTATAAATGGCATAGGAAATCCATAGCCTTTAAGCATTTCCTCAATAATTTCCCATCTAACCATATCATAGGCTTTCTTTAGATCAATTTTCATCAAGCACCTTGGGGTAGTCTTCCTATTGTAATGCCTCAAAATGTCATTATAAGGCCCCGTAAAATTTTCCTAAAAATCCAGATTTCATGATACAGAAGTAGGCGTAGAGGTTAATAATAGTAGAGTCGCGATTTAGACTTTATGGATTGAATGCGCTGGGGAGTTGAAGGAAAATGTTGGGCAGAAGTAGATATTTTTGCGGTCCGTTTTGCGACCGCAGAACGACTCTGCAGACCGCAGAATGGCCGCAAAGTGGAGCAGTCTTTTGGGCCATTTTTAATGTCATTTTTGCGGCCCATTATGCGACCGCATAACTATTTCGTGGGCCGCACTCTTGTCGCATATCCCGCCTTGGGATTATTCGGATGGAGGTTCTGCGGTACACTATGCGACCGCATAATAGGTCTGCGGGCATTATGCAATCGCATAACAGGTCTGCGGGCCGCATAGTGACCACAAACTTGGTCAGTTTCTCTCCAGTTTTGGCACCCAATTTCGCGGACCGCATAACCATTATGCGGTCGCATATGCGACCGCAGAACCTGTTCCGG